AAGTGTGAGGAATTTTCCTGGGTAGTATGAGTGCTTATTGTTTTCAGAACTTGGTACATACATCTATTCTTCTAAAAAAAAAAAAGGACATTTATTTTAGCTTACTGTAGTACATTTAAAACATACAGGTGGATAAACCATGAACATTATGCTGACAGATAGGAATGTCATATGAACAAGAGCTAAGAGATCACATCTGCATGTATTTTTAACATGTTCAGATTTTACAAACACAATGTTGAGTGAAAAGTCATAAATATCATATGTAAACTTTTCATATAAAATTCAAAAATATTCAAAATAAAATAAAATAAATAAAATAAAAATAGCCAACGTTAAAGAAATGCCAGACAGAGAGGAGGTGCAGGAGGGAACGGGAGGGAATGGGAGGAGCGGAGAGAGGGGAAACTGCAGTTGGGATGTAAAATAAATGAAAAAATTTAATTAATAAAAAATAAAAAAGAAATGCCAGAGAACAGTTATCATTGTTCTGTGAAATCAGGACAGTGGCTGCTCCTTAAGGGGAAGGAGGAAGATTGTGTTGGTTTGAATGAAAATGGCCTCCATAGGCCCATAGGGAGTGGCACTGTAAGGAGGTGTAGCCTTGTTGGAGGAAGTGTGTCACTGGGGGTGGGCTTTGAGGTCTCAGATGCTCAAGCCAGGCCCAGTGTCACACTCTCTTCCTGCTGTCTGGGGATCTGGATGTAGAACTCTCTGCTACCTCTCCAGCACCATGTCAGCCTGCATGCCACCATGCTTCCTGCCATGTTGATAATGGACTAAACCTCTGAACTGTAAGTCAGCTCCAATTAAATGTTTTCCTTTATAGAGTTGCTGTGGTCATGGTGTCTCTTCACAGCAATAGGACACTGACTAAGATAAGGACACAACTTGAGGATAGGAACATAGAGGGCTGTTAAGGTGTGGCCGAATCTCTCATAGTACTTAGCCTGGGTGCTAGTCACACAGGGCTTGTTTTATAACTACTAATAATTACTCCTTAAGCAAAAAGAAAAAGATAAAAAACAAACAATCCCATAATTAGATATTTATACTCCAAGAAACCCAGGGTTTTATCTACTAGTAAACTAAAAAGAGTTGTAAGCACCTGTAATTATCTGTTGGGTGGCCAGATCTTAACAAATATAAAGACAGAACTCTAGAAAATTAAAATACGGGATGTCCAGTAACTTCACATAAATGGCAAATACTTTTGTTGTGGTTTGTTCTGCAAGCCTGGGGGCCATACTCAGGATAGACAAGCACTCTGCTTCTGAGCTACAACCAATCTCTAACAATAATTAATATATCTCCATGCAATCAATAGCTGGTGTTGTACAACATCTAGGACATATTTAAAAAAAAAACAACAACAACAAGACAAAGCTGGGCTGTGGTGGAGTGCACCTTTAATCCCAGCACTCAGGAGACAGAGGCAGGTGGATCTCTGTGAGTTTGAGGCCAGCCTGGTCTATAAAGCAATTTCCAGGACAGAACCCAAAGCTACACAGAGAAACCCTGTCTCAAAAAACAAACAAAACAAAACAAAAAAACCAAGACAATTATATATTTAAAATTTACAAAAAATGAAGCATTGGAGATTTTGCCTGGCAACTTCTATTACACAAGTTATACAGGAAGAAGTAGAGTGATGAGCAGACAAGCCTCCCGAGGAAGAAGAAAAAAAGAAAAGAAGTTAGTCTGGATCTAAGCTCCTTTTGAACAACAGTGTAAATGGATCTTCTAAGTTCTGTTGCTGCAACCATTCTAAGTGAATTTACAAACCATTTCTCTTAGCCAAAAGCATTGTCAGCAAATGTTGCAAAGAGCCATCAGTCCTTCCTAAAAATTACCTGTCTCCCTCCTAATGCATTGGATGCTCTTCTCTTAGTCTTGGAGGAAGATATGCGAGCTAGCCCTGGTTATGTGCATTTAGACCTAATGTTTTTTTTCTGATGTGGAGCTGATGCTTGGGAGTGGAGTTGCAAGGCACACTACTTTGTTCTGTCTACAACTTTCTCTTTCCGATGGCTTGCCTTGTGTCAGAAACTGAGGGAGGCTCTAAAGACAGGGTAACTTTGAGGACAGACATGGGCTCCTCTTGGGTCTTAGAGACTAAGCGATGGGAACTGTAAATTGTGACATAGGTATGGATTAGTTGGCGTACGTGGTAAAGCATTAGTTAGCTACAGTGGCTATCTACTGTTTGTTGCCTAGTATCCCTTCTTTTGGGGAACAATCCAAAATTCCTATTTACTGTCTGGTTTAGCTGGAATAGGTCTCGAGCTTATTGCCATGACAATGATTCAAAGATGATCACATACTACAGTTGAGAGTGACAAGCCAAGATACTTTGGGGGAAAAGTAAGCATCCACTCTTGCTGTGGAAAGTGGTAAAGCTTGGTAAGAGGTCACCGTATTGCTAACTTGAAGGAAGCCATTCAGATAGCAAGGGTGAAGCAGTAAGTACCCGCCACCAGGAGGCATCACTCACACATGCAAAGCATGAAGTGAGCAGTCGGAAATAGCATCCTGGTCACACTGAGGTGCCCCGGTTCAGGACCAACTTGAAACTACCCGTAGATTTTTCAGTTACATTGACCAGTGGATGTGCCTGTTTGTTAGAGCAGGTGCGGTTCTGTCACCTGTGCACTAGAGCTGTCAAAATCTAGGAAGACTTCCCACTCCCACCCTTGAGTTCCCTGCTCTAGAGCTCATCAGCTGTGCCTGTTCCAGACACTTGCTTGGATATAAAACAGATGCACATAATACAAGCCTTTAAACTTTTACGTAGACACGTGCATGTAAGTCACTCTTCTCATTACTGACAAATTCATGACCAAAGCCACTTAAGGCAGGAAGGGTTTGTTTTGACTCATAATTTAAGAAGGGCTGCAATCCATCATGGGAGGAAGGCATGGCTGGGGGAGAGTGAGCCCACAGTGACTCGCCCCCTCCAGCTAGGCTCCGCCCCCTAAAGGTTCCACAGCCTTCAAAAATAGAGCCACCGTCAACACAAAATGAACTCAGTGATAGTTCTGTTTATTTTAATTTGTCATTTGTTTGTTTGTTTTTGTCTTTTTTTTTTTTTGGTCTTATTGGTCTTTTGCTTGTTTATCTTAATATTCGTTTTTTTGTGGGGGTCTTTTTTCAGGGTATTTTTGTTCCTTTTGTTTTTTTGGGGGGGGAAGAGAAAGAGAAAAGGAACACAGAACTGGGTGGGTGGGGAGGTTAGAGAGGATCTGGGAAGAATAAGGGAGGGAAAAACATGATAAAATATGTAAATTTTTTTAAAAAAGAATATTTATATAAGGCTGGAAAGATGGCTAGATTAAAAAAGGAAAAAAGTCACCACCAGCTGGGTCCAAGCTTTCAGACATGTGAGCCTACAGGGAACATACCCCATCCTAACCACAATAGTATGCATGCTTTTAAATTTTTATTAGGTGTGTGCGTGCGCCACAGCACTTGTATGGAGGCCAGGAGACAACATTTGTGGAGCTGGCTCTGGCTTTCTACCACGTGCCTCCTGGAGATCAAGCCTCGGTCATTTGTCAGGCTAGGTGGCAAACATCTTTACCCTCTGAGCCATCTACCCAGTCCAGCCGTTTTTCCTTTTTTCTTTTTAGAGACTGGACTGTTACAAGTTCAATGGAACTTCTTGTGTGCCTCTCTGATTTCATGCTTCTCCACCTTCCCCAGAGGAAACCACCCTGCCTCCGCTGATGTGCCCCAGTGTGTGGAGATCATTTGTCTACCCGAAACCTTCCTCATATGCATTAAAATCTTGACTCTTTTCCTCTGTCCTTCAGGGTAAAATGAGACAGGAAATAACAAAAGACTGAACATACCATCTGTAGCAGTTGTCCTTAAACAAGTCACTTCAGGATCCACAAGGATTTGTGTGAGACAGACTCATTTCACAACAAAGGTTCCCAGGAGAAGCTGTCCACAAGCGTGCCAGTCTCCTGATTAATGTTGCTAATAAAGGACAGAAGGGCCTGTCCGTCAACCTTGCCTCAGTGAGGCTAGCGGTTTGTGATTAGAGGACATTGGTCTAACTTAGTTGAACCCCAGGGGAGGAGATAAGTTTTAGGCTCTAACATCTGTAATATAATATCTGGAAGCGGACAAGACTGGTTCTGCCTCCATGAAAGGAGAGGATGGTGGGGACGGGATGCTCCGGCCAGCTTGGCTTGGAGGATGAAGGATCTGTCTAGCGAGCAAGGCGATGGAACCATTGAGAAAATACCTGAACACTTTTCAATTGTTTTGATTTGTCTTTTTTAAGGCTTCACTCTGCAACCTAATCCTTCCTCAGACTCACTATGTTGCCCATGCTGGGGTTGAATTCACTGCAGGCCCCGTGGCTCTGCTTCCCCAGGGCTGGGGCATGAGACACCACACCAGAGTTGAACATTTTTGAAGAAAGAATTACCTTTTGCCTTCTTTTTTTTAAAATGAGTAAGCAGGGCCTGTGAGATGGCTAAGTGCTTAAAGGTGCTGAAACTAACCCTGGCACCCCAGGTTAACCCCTACACCCCAGAGTGGAGGAGGAAACCCTACTTCCTCAAGCTGTCCTCTACCTCCATACTTACTGTGGTGTGCGAACCTAGGGCCTCACAAGAGCCAGGCGATTCTTTCTCTCACGGAACTACAGCCCTAGCCTGGATTTATTTTTAATAATTTTTTCTCTTTTTGAGACAAGATGTCAAGTAACCGAGGCTGGTCTCAAATTCACTGTATAACTGAGAATGACCTTGAACTTCTCGCTCTTCTGCTGTAAGATTGAGCGAAGATTACTGATATGTACTACCCCACGGATATGTACCACCCCTCCTGGTTTATGTAGTATTGAGATTCAAACCCAGAGCTTTGTGACAGCTAGACACTCTGCCAAGTGGTGCTCAGAAGATTTTTTTCTTATAGTTTTGATTTTTCTTGTCATATTCAGTTTGAGTGAGAAGTGATTATTTCTTACAAACACTTCTCTTTTTTAGGTCACAGTGGAGAAATTTGGAAAATGGTGCTAACTGACCAGAAATCTGGTGATTTGATTCCATTATATAGCACCATACCTACCAGCCATTAAGAGAGGACACAAGTGAAGTCAAATTAACTTCAGAAGATGTGTTTGGGGAACCTCTCAACCCTGGATGTCGTCGCCAGCTGCTCTTCACCTGAAGCGTTTTCTCATGCACAAAACCGAGTTACCGAATGCAGCCTTCCCGAGTGTCGGGTTAGGGTAACCGTTCACCTGTGGTAACTGTGGGTCCCAGGACTGATGTTTCTTCCCCCCTCTCCTCCTTTCTCTTCCTCATCAAGCCAATCCTGAGGATTCCGGCAACTGTTAGCTGTGCCATAGTTCAGGCTAACCGTTTTTACGCTGTAAGCTTATCCATGGCATTCCACAGTGCCGTGGCATCCCAGCTACAAGTCAGTTACAACGCTAAACCTGTAGGATAACCAGACGTGGCACCTGCTGAGTGGTATGTGTAGACAGGCAATGCGTTTATAAAGTGAGTGAGGAATGGAGCAGGTGTGGTGAATCGGAAGTCTTGATGTGGACTGAAAATGTGTTTGCTTCTTCAGAAACCAGGGATGTTTTCTTATTTTCATGTTCAACACTTTTCATAAAATGTATTACCTAAAAGAGTATGACTCCTAATCATAGTTCCCTGTACCATCTCTAGATGTTGGATTATGTTCCTTCACCACTGTATAAACCTAAATGAAAAAAAAAAAAAAAAAAGAAAGAAAAAAAAACCCTAAATGGAATTTACCTCCAGGTGGGCATTCATCAGACTTCTGTGTGGAAACCTCCTTTGTGGTATACAACGAGTGATAACTGGTATATTAATATCTCCTTTTATGTCTCCTACTAGAGAGCTGGTGGCTAATTCACTAGCTTAAGGACACTCCTCTGCATTAGAATTACTAAAGAGTGAAAATATTTGCTAAGAGTGTTAGCTGATCTGTCCTCTGCTGTGACATCTTTTATGTATGAAATGTAAATGCCAAAAGGAAATCGTAGGCCTCGGCACACGGCCTTTGGGAAACCGACAGCAACCCATGACTAAACTGATTTGACAATGGATGTGTTAACAGATTCTAAGCAGAAGTTAATGGCTCAGCTTTCTCAGCAGATACTCTATTTTGAAGGAAAAGGTGCATAGTACAACCATGAGTCCCAAGAAAGGCAATTGCAATTAATTTAATGATAAATTTGCTTTTATCAGTGACTTCTGTGGTGTTGACAGAAATGTTGGTGGAACGCTTCTTTCTCATCTGGAGCCCTTCTTGCACATCTGGAACTTCAGAGTCAGTCCTGGTTAGTAACACTTTTATGTGTAAACTCATAGCAGTTGGGGGCTGGTATAATTCCTATAGAGAAGCCTGTGCTACATTCATCATTCTGAATGAAAGCAATGGCCATTAACCCATTTCCTGGTTCTTCTCTGCATATTCTCCAGTAAGCCATTGGTGAGAATTTTAGAACAGAAGGACCCTAGATTTGGAGGTAGAGTGCCTGGATTTGAGTACAGCCTCCAACTAGCTGTGTGGTTGCCAGTGTGTAGTGTAATCATCTCTCTGTCTCTTAGATCTTTGTCTGTAAGTGGTCACCAAGTTGCCAAACAAGATATTAGGACAGAATGAGGTAGCTCATGGGGAAAGAAGCACAGAAAATCCCCTCAAAAACATTTGAGAATGAGCGTTTTGATGCAGGCCTGGAACTCCATCACTCTGGAGGCCGAGACAGAAAGAACGAGAGATGGAAGCCATCCTGGGCTGCTCAGAACTTATCTCAACAAACAAAACAAAGAAAAACAAAACAAAAACACCCTTTTAATCTGGGGCTATAGCGAAGATATAGTGTGCTTGTCAACAGGCACAAGGCCCTGGGTTTGCTCCCTAGCCATGTAAAACAAAACAAAACAAACAAAAACTTCAGTTGATACATATTTCAACCATATTCTTCGAAAGAAAAGCAGGAGCTGGGGAGATGGCTCAACAGATAAGTACACTTGCTGCTCTTGCAAAGGACAAGAGTTCGGGTCCCGGCACCCACACTTGCCTGTAATACCAGTTCCAGGGGTTCTGACGTCCTCTTTCTGGCCTTTAAGGACATCTGCATGTGTATGTACATGCAGGCACACACGCACATACACATAAATAAAATAAATTTTTGCCAGGTGTGGTGGTTTATACCTTTAATCCCAGCAACCCGAAGGAGGCAAAGGCAGGTGGCTCTCTGTGAGTTCAAGGCCAGCATGATCTATATAGAGATTTTTCATATGAAGAAGAAGGAGAAGAAGACCACATTTTTGTGTCAACCAGACAGCGTCAACAATTATCTGCTCACACCCAGTAACGTTGCATTCACATTTCAAACCCATGTCCTCAGGATGAATAGCTAGTGCTCTGAACAACTGAGCTGTCTCCCCAGGGCCTCTGAAACCTCTTCTTGATAAAAGCAGTAGAGGAGAATCTTCCCAACCTAAAAAGGACACCTATGAAAAACCAACAGCCAGCTCATACAACATAATAAAAGATTGTTTTCTGCCAAGAGTCGGGCATAAGACAAGAACAGCACCCCTTTTCCTCCCCCACTCCACTTTTGTTTTTGAGTCGGAAGTCTTGATGCTGCCCATGCTGGTGACCAACTCCTGGGCTCACTTGATGCTCCCACGTAAGCCTCCCAAGTAGCTGGAGCTATAGGCTTGCCCCCCACCCCCCATGCCCAGCTTATTCTCATCAACTCAAGTGAACATTTCATTAGACATTCTTTCTAGGTAAATTGAGCAAGACATTAAAAAAATGGTATCTGAATTAGAAAGAAAAAAAATTAAAACTGTTTTAAATTGACATGATTTTACATGTGGGAATGGGGGATACAGCTCAGTGATTACATGCATGAGGCCTTGTTTCAACCACCAACTGGCATCACATAAAATAAAAACAAAAACCTTATGAAAATATTCCTTGATTCTGTTTATATCAATCCTCTAATCCAACAGATCTAGAGACACAAGAAGTGACTGATGAGGCCTTAGGTGTAGGGTTTGGAGAGGGTGGGTAGGGATGGAGGCATATTCGAAGGATAAAACCTTTTCTAAAATTGACTGTGGTGGCAATGGCCCAGCTTCTGTAACGCAGTCAGTCCCTTGAATCTGCAGGTTCCACATCTTCACAGTCAACCAGCTACAAACTGGGGGTAAAACTGTACATATGTGCGCTGGACGTCATACCCAGGGCCTGTGCATGCTAAACATATGCTGCACCACTAAACAATACCCTCAGCTGCCTGAAAACACTTATTTTCTCTTACTAACCTTTTAGTGTACAAATGAGTTTCATTATGACATTTCAGGACACATTTGTCAGTGTGCCTTGCTCATATTCGCCCCTCTTCTACCCTCCACTGTCCTTCCTCTCTGCTTCTCTGGCATCCTTTATCCAGAATTTATTTTTTCAATTGCTCCTGTTGTGGCTGGAGAGATGGCTCAGCAGTTAAGATCACTTGCTAATCTTGCAGAGGACTGGGTTTGGTTCCAATCACTCACAGGATGGCTCACAATTGTCTGTATCTCCAGTTCTGGGCATCTGACACCTCTTTTGGACCCCATGGGCACCAGGCATGGACATGGTACACAGACATACATGCAGAAAAACATTTATTCACATAAAATAAAAATAAATAAATCTTTAAAACAGTACTTCTCTGCTAAAACGTTTCATGGTCTTGCCATTATCTTTTAAACAGTATAGTATAACAACTAGTTGTGTGCTATTTTTTTAATCATATGTTTTAAGTAATATGTGAGTCACAGTTACATGGGAGGATGGCTACAGATTATATACAGATACTATACCATTATATCCAAGGGATTTTACCACCTATAGATTTTGGTATCTGTGGAAGGACCTAGAAGCAATGCTGTGGTGGCTTGAATGAAAATGACCCCCATAGACCCATAGGGAGTGGCACTATTAAGAGGTGTGGCTTTGTTGGAGGAGGTGTGGCTTTGTTGGAGGGGTGTGGCTTTGTTGGAGGAGGTGTGGCTTTGTTGGAGGAAGTGTGTCACTAGGGAGTGGGCTTTGAGGTCTCAGAATCTCAAGCGTGGCCAGTGTGTCACTGTCACTTCCCGCTGCCTGCGTAGTATCCTGACGTAGAACTCTCAGCTACCTCTCCAGCACCATGTCTGTCTGCATGATGCCATGCTCTCTGCTATTACGATAATGGACTAAGCCTCTGAAACTGTAAGCCAACCCCAATTAAATGTTTTCCTTTGTAAGAGTTGCCGTGCTGTGGTCATGGTGTCTCTTCATAGCAATAAAACCCTAAGACAAATGCCTTGTGGATATTGATAAATGACAATATACTGTAATCAACTGAATTAATACTTTAAGCAGGCAAATTATATTTATTTTGTGTTAATTATATCTCAATAATAAATAATAAAGCTATATTGTCTTTTAAATATTTTGTTAATCCTCTGAGAATTTCATACAATGTATTTTAATCATATTCACCTCTGTCTTTCAGCTCCTCTCAGGTTCACTCCCACATCCTTATCCACCCACCTTCCTGTGCTCTCTCTCTCTAAATTTAAAACCATTGAGTCTAATTTGTGCAGCCCAGCTACTCTTGGGAGTGGGGCTTGCTCTGTACTATCTATGGTCAACCTACCAGGGTCACATGATTAAAGAAAATGAACTCTCCCTCTCCCAGCACTATCAGATGTTAATAGCTCCTCAGCTCCTCAGGGTGGGACTTCATGCCCACCTTCCCTTTCCCTGCTGGGATTATGTCTGGCTTGAGCTTCTGCGGGCCTTAGGCATGCTGTCACGGCTCCTGTGGGTTCATATGTGCTGCTGCCCTGTTGAGTCTGGAAGACACTTCGCCTGAAGTTGTCACCACCTTTGGCTCTCACAATCTTACAAGAAGCTCCCTGAGCCTCAGGGGTGGGGCATGACACAGACCTCTCATTTAGGGCTGAGCACTCCTTAGTCTCTGGTTCTTCCACTGACCTGTGTCGGGTTTCTGTACTGATTGTCATCTACAGCAAGAAGCAGCTTCTCTGCTATCTGCTGAGAGCCACACTGATCTGGGCTTCCAGGTCAGGCTCCACCTCCACAAAGCTGTCCCTTTTGAGGGGGGACGTGAGTCTCTCCTGAGTTCAGTGACTGGAAAGCACAGCTGAGTTTGTCATTGCGCCCTTTCCTCTTGGCTCTTCCTTCCTGAAGGCCTGTGGACAAGCTTCAGCTTGGCCCCATGGGGATGTAGCACATTCAAGATCTTGCCTTGTCTACTACCTGCTCTGTGGACTTCGGGCTTGCTTAACTTGCCCACAATCTCATAAGCCAATTCCTTATAGCACAGTAAGTATGCTCAGTTTCATTGGTTGAAATCTGACTTTGAGAGATGCTGGTGGAGAAGAGTTTTTCGATAAATACTCATTGCAAGAACCTAGGCTGGACATTTGGTTGAGGATTAGGGGAGCCATGGAATCTGCCAAATAGCCAATCAACACCACTTCCCTTGGGAATGGCTGTTGAGTAAGTTCTTTTCACCAGGGGTTGGAAAAGCAACCTTGTGAAGCATGGAGCAAACTGTGCTGATCCTGTCCTTATTGGAAGGGAACAGCTGTCTCTCTTCCTAACAATGGATATTCCTTTATAAGATCAATTTTACAAAACCTGGAGGACACTGTGGATGATAGAGACATGCCCATTAATTTAGCATTTCTTTAGCATGGTTCTATCTATTCCCTTACTCCACCCAAACAATTTGATCATCGGAGAAAATTCTGAACTTGCACAATGCCCAGAATAACAACTTGGACCTTTTAGACTGAGGGTGTCGTGGTTTGTATAAATGGTACCCCAAATCTAGGTTGTAGGCATGGCTCCAGGCGATACTGTTAGGAAATGGTGGGGTCTTTAGGAAATGGTGTGGTTTTATGGTCATAATGGACTCATTCATCAAAGGCTTCAAACATCAGACCCAGATGGTCAGGAACTAGAACCCATGAAATTGTGCACCCTAAGAAATCTGTTCTGTTTCTGTTAATTGCACCGAGTATGTTATTATGGTGATGAAAAGTCAGCAGGGAATCTAGATGAACCAACCCTAGAGTCCATGTGGCTGCTAGATTCTAACCCACAGAAGTTAGTACTCATCCCAGATCCTCTAGTCTTCTAGCAATAAGTTGGAAATAGTCTGTATTTTTTTTTTAGCCCACTGTACTTTCTAGCATACCTTGCCTCTTCCTTAATATGCTGAGACAAAAAAAAAAAAAAAAAGAATGTCATGCTATTTTCCCTCATTTTACATGCTTCCCTGGTGATCAGGATTTTGTCATTATTATAGATGAAGAAACGTGTGTACTGTGGGATAGATACTTTTCTCATGGCCATAGTGCTTACCAGACGTAGCACTGGAAACGAAATCTAGTACTCTAATTTTAGCCCCAGGCTGGAATTGTGAGATTATTTTTCTTGTCAAAATGCCAAACTAAACTAAAGAGAAGAGTAGAACCCTGTGTTGCGAGGACAGAGTGCCTGGCTTGTGTGTTAATTCAACTGCCCAACTCTGGTTCCTTTCCAGCATGATGTCACAGTATGTTGTGGAATTAAAATTTCCTCTCAAAGAATAGAAGGAAATAAGTAGAATGGGGTGTTACTGCCTGACTCCAAGCCTGTGATCTTAATTAACTCTGATGTGTTACTGCCTCCCCAGGAGTGTAAGGTGCAAACGTAAATTTGTAGACAGCCAAAGGAAAGTTTCACCAATTTTCCAGGAGCAATTAATTTATACATTATTCATTAAGTAATAGAACTTAGCACTTGTATATTCTAGGTTTCCTTAAATAATCCTCCCTGTGGTATCATTACAAGAAATCCAATAATGTGAAAGATACATATTAGGCCACTCTGTGGCCTGGAGAGGGGACGCTGG